TGCGTGCGTGCGTGCGTGCGTGCGTGCGTGCGTGCGTGCGTGCGTGCGTGCGTGTGTGTGTGTGTGTGTGTGTGTGTGCGTGCGTGCGTTTGTGTGTGTGTGTGCATGCGCGAGTTCGTGCGTGTGTACGTGATATGCGTAATGTACGTACCAGAAAATTCAAACTGATTTCATCCATTCATCCATCCGTTCGCGGCGCACAGAATACCAGCCGGTGTCGCTGTACATGTCACTATAGCTATCGCCACCACACAGAGCCCCCCTTACTATCGATTAGGTGTGAACGGGAGATAGCACAGAAAACACGCGCGCAAATCAAGCGGGAACCTTAATTCGTATTGTGGTTTGCTCTTCTCGTTAGCGGTCTGTCGTTTGGCTCGGAATTGGGTAAATAATGGGATTTGCTTCACCCTCTGTGGCTGGACCGTGAGTTGCGCATCTATTTGAGTCTAACCACAGGGAGGGATGTGGACACTACCATCCGGGACACTAACAGTCGAACCGCCAATCACAGTCCCGGATTGTGATCACATTGTGTCGTCAGTTCTTTATGTACTCGCCCACTGCGAGATCGTTCGAGTTTTTATCACCAGGTTGCGCTCGTGACGCAGAAGACAGTGTTTTACTTTTGTGCGTATCAGGGGGGACTCGTCCGAGAGGGTGGTGAGTATGTATACATGTATGAGTTGTATTTCCCGAGGGGGAGGGGCGGCTTCTTTGGTTGTTATTGGCTTTGCACGCGAATGCGACAGTTATGGTGCGTCTGGGTGAGCTAAATGAGTGACGATGAGGATGAACTGGTGATGATTGATGGTGGTCGGGATATGTATAGCTTACCTTTAATCAGGGGGTTAGTAATGAGAAATTATTCAATGACAAATAAATAAATGTTAAAGAATGACAAATAAATACATGTTAAATAATGAAAAGTAAAAATGAATAAATGTAAAATGAATAAATAGAAATGTTAAATAAATGGAAAAATAGGTAAATAATGACAGATTTGTCATTATTAACCCCTGATTTAATTAATATGATCGTACAGGATTCACTCAGTCCTAACTGATATGATAATTGCTACTGGAAATGCTACATGTATTTATCGTATGTAACGTACACACGGTGTGCGAAATAACAAAGGTTAAAATGAAGCCATGCTCTTAGGGTGTAATCTATTATGGAATCAGAGAATCCGGTGACGTCCAACTACGCTCTATTATTGGTCACATAACCTTTTGGAGACATCCGAAACCTCCAATCTGTCGAGGTGGTTTGATCGCGGAGAACACGTGATTCATCATGGCTGACATGAACTATCCAATTACCAATTACCAATCCAATTACCAGTACAACAATAAATTTAAGGTGTTCGTTGATTAAATTGAATTTGAATTGAAATTTCGATATATTATAGGCATAAAACGGCAGGCAGTTTTATTTGTATCATAGTCAGCGTGCGGCAAAACATCAGTATACTAAATAAAATTTTGTATACAAATGCCATGGCAAAAATGCAACTTTGTCCGCCTTTTTTTTCAATGCCGGCAAATGTTCAATCAAATGCGGCAGGAACCGCAAAGTGCGTTAGATGTATTGTCCATCGTCCATATGTCCATGCATGTATATGCTTGAGAGTGCGTGCGTGAGTACGTGTGTGCGTGCGTGCGTGCTCGCGCGTATGTATGTATGTGCGTGCGTGCGGGCGTGCGTGTGTGCGTGTGTGCTTGCTTTTTAATATGCATCTATGCGTATTCTTAAAATGTTAAAATTTGAATGCTTCAATTTTATTATTATTAAAGTGATGGCACATTTACTGCATACTGCTATTACATTAGCCGGCGGTGTTGTAACTGTATTCACTCGCTTCTTTGAAACAAATTTGTTGAGACAATATATTACCGTGTGTTTACGCTAGAGGAGCGTCTTCGTAAGAAGTCAGCAAGACTGCATTCATCGTTGAATTACATGTCATTGTTTCGTGTAGTCCCGCTTTCTAACCCCCCCCCAAAATATGAATGTAATTGCTCTAATGATGCACACCTCTATAGAACGGACACCTGCATTTTAAGGCCACTTGCCGTTTCTCGTGACTGGCGGTTATACAGTGAAACCAATTCAATAACCTTCAATAACCTTCAATAGCCTGTTAATAAAGATCACTTATTATTCGATTAAGTGGGATTTCTATTGAGTTACCCTTATCGATAGGTTTGACTCTAGCTGGTCTGTGTGATAGTAACGTGCAAGGGCTTGTGTGCATTATACTTTGATATGTGCTACTGTGATATTCGGAAGCAATACCTATTACCAAACATATTGATGTCAGCCATCTGGGGTTGCAGTATACCCTCGTGTTATTCATTGTCGTTCCTATTTGTTTCAGACGGTGAAAATTTCCAGTCAAGTTGCAAACAAGACCTACCAACTGGGCAGTACTGTCAATGAAAAGGTAGGTACAGCTTGTACGTGTTTCGCTCGCAGCACCTGTGCAATATGTAAACTACGACAACTATCAACACTTTCAAAAGGTTAAAACACCTTCACCTGTCTAGATCCATGTCCAGTATCAGCTTGCTCTCTCACAGCTGATGGCGTGTTTTTAATCTGCTGTAATATAATCGCAGACGACTAACCGAGCCCGACCCACAATGCACCACTGTGAGTGTGCGCAGAGTTGCCCTAGCAACGCAGTCGGCAACAGTACTGAGCATGATCTCGGCTATGGTTGGCCATCATACTCAGAAATAATAATTTTGACCACGGTAGAAATAATTCAACCGCGGTTAGATTATGGTCCTCTTTACCCAATCATAGGCTTTGTTACACCTAATTTAACCACGATAAAAATAATTTATCCGTTATTAAATTATGTGTAACTATGCCTCTGATTGGGTAAAAGGGCTATAATTTCACCGCCGTTATATTAAGTGTAACAATGCCTCTGATTGGGTAAAAGGACTATAATCTGAACGCGGTTGAATTATTTCTATCGCGGTAAAAATAATTATTTCCGAGTACAATGGCCAACGATACTCGGCGCTATCTTGCTGTCATGGACAGTAAATACAGTACAATGTCGGCTGATGGCATGAGAGGCAGATATAAGGATTCGGAAACGCCTGCAAGCAGCAACGGTTAACTCGTGTCGGCCCCGTGTCGGTGCTGTATGCGCATGCGCGCGGGAAGCTGTGACTAGCAAACACGCAGAATGACCACAATCTACAAATCACTGCAGGCGCTCTCTCTCTCCCGCGCACTCTCGCTCTCTCTCTCTCTCTCTCTCTCTCTCTCTCTCTCTCTCTCTCTGAGAAGATCGAGATATATATATATATAAATAGAACGAGATTAAGAGAGACAGAGACAGAGATCGAGAGACAGAGATAAATAGAAAGAGAGAAATAGAGACAGAGAGAGAGATATACAATACGATAAGAGAAAGAGAAACAGACACAGAGATCGAGAAGACGGATGAGA